TGTTAAAATAATAAAATGTTTATTAGTTGTTTTGTAACAGAACAGTACCTGCTTTAAAGAAAATATAGGAAAGAGAAAATCAAAATAACAGTTGTACTATACATGGAAAACAGAATAAAATCTTTCTAAGCATTTCTACTGTTATCATAATTTGATTAACTGATGAGATAATATGAAGTCTTTCTGTATGTTAAAAAGTGTGATTTCTGAAGAAGTCTTTCTGTATGTGTGAAATGAAGTCTTTCTGTATGTGTGAAACTGTGTTTAATAGAAAATATGATTTCCGAGACTCTAAGAAAATGTGAAAGCTACGTGTGAAAATAAAATCGAATAAATTCAGTATATATCTACAGTACATACCTTGATATACAGTACAATCAATCAACATCATTTCATATTCCAGGCAACACTATCAGTGTTTATTCAGTCGCATTTGAAGCCGAACAGCATCTGATATATACAAGGCCCTAACAAGGGTTGCCAAAGCGAACAAAACAATGTCACAAATATGAGCGCCATAATCAGACAAATTGATACAATATGATGACGAATGTTGCACAGTTTTGTGTACATGTGTGTTCACAGCTTATATCTGAAGTAGTTTTTATAAAATTTGTTAAAACTTTGAGAATAAATACATAAACAATCAACAAAACATGAATATTTTTAAGCAAGAAAATCGTAAGCGCCAGCGCTAATTGCAGTCAGCAACATAACGTTGTCGTTACTGCGCATGCGATAAATCTCCAAGAATCTTGGAGTTTTCATCGTATTTTACCAGGGTCTTCCTCAGCTCACGCGCCACCACGAGGAAGCCCCTGGGGACGAGGTTGAAGCCGACCTATATCACTGTGTGGCCAAAGTCGCCCAAAAAATTAAAAACAAAATTTTAGAGGTGGGTAATTTGCGCTTGGCGTATAAGATGTATTCAAAAGTTCTAGGAGAAACCCACTCCCACACAGAAGTAATCTATATTGCATATGCCAGAGCTCTTATAGGTCCACGTTAATTGCCTAGATAATCTACGTTAATCTGTAGACTATCAACAGCGCATTGTGGGACACAGTCGATTGTTCATTCAAGTTCATTGCTGCACTTTGTTAATATTCGTACAGGTTTGCATTTGTGTGGTTTTTAGACTTCACCACTTTTGAGAGTATTCTTAGTATTTTCAGCAAGAATTAGCTTCAATTTCGTCCATGACAAGAACTGGGATCACCAAGTTTTAATGCAAATAATGTGTGTCGTCATATGGCCTATGGCAGCCGCTTTTGCGTATCCGTAAATATTTTAATTATTATATATGAATGTTCATAGCCATAGACAACAAAGCAGTTGTCTACAATATACATGCACTTTAGCAATACTCCATGGTATTACTGTACATTTGGCAATGCACCGCACATGCATAACCTCTAGATTTTAGCTGCAGCTTACCCATAACTTAGTCATGTATGAAACTCGTGCATTTGTTGATAGTGTTTAATTAATAGATGCTTTTTGAGGGACAACTTTTTTTGAAGATTTAACTGTGGATACCTCCATACATGTATCTTCATTCATTCATGGACCAAGTTGTTAAAGAGCATTTAACGAGAGCATCTTGAACAGCTCGGTCTTACGTACAATTTGTTTTAAAGGTGTGTAGAGCAGGGAAACGTATAAAGGAATGCTTTAGTTGGTGTGCTTACATGTTTATCTACTCTTTAATACTACATGCAACAACAGCTTCAATAACTATGTACGACAACAATAACGGCATCAACAATAGTGAAATAATAAATAAGCATAGGCTGTTCGAAGGTCAGATGAATAAGGGCGAAGATTTGATATTCAGCAGGGATCGATGGACGAGGTTGCGACAGTGACAAAGTGTTTGAGGGACCGAGCTATAAGGAAGCGAGTCTGTAGTCTTGCTTGACAGTTTCACAATCATGTTACTATCTCATGCTGTTTTAAATTTATTTTTATTTTTGTCTTTCCATGCTTGCCCAAATCTAAAAATGGCTTCGATACGGAAATCCCTCTCCCCCATGCTCTGGCAAAGGAAGGGTGCAGGGTGTTCACCTAATTGCTTCTCCAGTAAATCAATCTAGCTTTAATATGCAGAGACTGCCGTTTGGTTCATTTTACATGTCAGGCAATAAGGAATCTGATGTCTTTATTTCGAATTCTCTCACTCCGCAAGCTGCCATGTTTGTACCTAATTAAGTTGAAATTAATATTGGTTGTGTTTGTTTTGGCCATGACATTTAGCGTTGGCATTCGGTGAGCATTTGAACGCAGATAAAGGTACGTTTGGCATAAAAAACACTCTGCAAACCAAAATGTTGTTTGACTGCAAGTAAAACTGACTTACAACTTTCAATTTCCACAAGCATTCTTATTCCAAATTGAACTTTTATCATATACGGAGGAACGTGGACTAGAAAACTTTGCCATTGCCTGCTTCAATTGATTTACTCTCTAACCCTGAAATTACTGTTTCCAGCTTACGCGTTTCGTGCATAGTCGAAAAAGCTTTTTATTTCAAAGGCGGACGGGAGGAGAATATTGAACATTTTTCCTTCTTCATTAAATGGAAATTGTCCTTAAAGTTGAAACCTTTTTGATACGAAAAATGAGACTGAATGTCTGGCGTGAGACGAGGATTATGATCTCGTTAACCTAACGGTTGTGAGCAAAAGAGCTTGAAAATATAATCTAATCAACGCAGTTTGGAAAGGTCCAATTGGAAGAGGTCTAATTGGAAGTTGTCCAATTATTAGATTTCCTGCAATGAATATCAGAATAACAATTGGTATTGTCTCGGTTGGATTGGGGTTATGAGCAATTATCTTTCATACAATCATGACCTTAGGCAGGACCTAAACAAAGCTATTTAAGAACATGCTCATTTCAGCCAAGCCTTGAAAACGGCTTTTGTGTTGAAATTTTCATCCCACTAATGAGAGATGCAATGCCATCCCGAGATGCAATGCCAGAATCCTGTCTACAGTTCGCCACAAGTTGTAGTTTTTTTCCTCATTTGCGGATACTCCAGTAATGTGAGCAATGGATTTCACTAAAATACTCAAGCGCTATTCAAACCGTGGTATTTGATAACCTAAAATTGAAAACAAAATAGGCCTACAATTTGCAGGAAATTCTCGTGCTGCGTGTAAAACCATGTTAATTATTTGTTAACCAAATAATTAAGATTGTTTTTAAAGAATATGATGCGAAGCTAGCCAGGGCGACTGGTCAACCTATGCTATTAAACCTGCATCTGAATAGACTAAATACGTTGGAAATATGCAAATCATAAAAATTTCGATTCTATTACCTGTTGCTATGGCTAGCTCGCCACTGAAAATCTCTAATGCATGATTGGATTCAGTACATAAGAAATCAATAATACATCAGTAGTTTAGTGTAAGGATATTTCCAAAATAAGCGTATTCTAGTATTTTAGTATATAGTTAGAAACCATTTTATATATAGGTTAAAAGCCAAGGGAGAGGTTTTTATTAAACTGTGAAGACCGAGGGCCGAAGGCCCGAGGTCTTTACAGTTTAATAAAAACCGATACCCGCGGCTTTTAACTTGTTTATATACT